TTCCAGATGGTGGTGGCGCGCCAATTGCCCCCGCGTCACCGCTTGGAACTGGTCCGCGTACTCCGGGTGCAGGCGCAGGTTCTGCACAAATGGATGGTCGAGGGACATGCTCCTGCAAAAGCAACAAACCAAAGGTGGAGCCAAGAAAAAACTTGTCAGGACCAACAACATGGGTTCATCACTTCCCCCACACTTAAGGACCACCTAGGCCAACAGTTCTAAGCACAGCCGGTTGAATCGCAAGCAACTCAGCCGGAATCAAGGCAAGAAACATAGAACCAACCACATTAATTACACGGACAGCACATACATCATAGATAGAACCATGCATACTCAAAGCATCCCTCACCCTTTTCTAAATCATGGATGCAGATACAGTTCTCGGTCCTACAATCTATAGTTCGATTTTCCAGGAAAGAGCAGTTAACAAGAAAAACACCTGAAAACGCAAGTAGAACTGTAGCTAAGGCTCAAAAAACCGGTGAGGGACGCGAGACAGAGGCCAAAAATGACCAGGGAATCTCGCCGGAAAATGGTCGGAAAGTCGCCGGAAAACCACCGAAAGGTCGCCGGAAAACGACAGGCGGCGGGGGCGGCGGCGGAGGGCCGGCGACCGGCGGCGCTCAAGAAGAGAGAGGGGAGAGGATTTGAGAGGAAGAGATAGGGGAAAATTTTGAAAAATGAGGGTAGAGAGAGAAACTGACCGGGGGTTTGCTATAAATAGGAAAAATCCCCAGTCAGGGCTCAAAAATACCCGGTCGGGTATTTTGAGTCCACGACCGGGGGTTTTGACAAACGCGGCGTTTAGTGGGATGAGGGATTCCCCGGTCGCGCGCCAAAAATACTCGGGGGTCCTGAAACGCTGCGTGTCAAGGTCTGGAAATCCCCGGTCTCAAGCCAAAAATACCCGGTCAGGGAGGTGTAGGAACAGGTGCCTCCAAGAGCGGATCCACGTCGCCCTTGTGGTACAGCTTCAGGTCGTGGCCATGCACCCGACGGGTTCAACCACCAACATTGGTCAGTTCGACCTGGCCATCCGACAAGATGCAAGTGAGTGAGTACTCGGATGGCCAGGGTGGTCGTGGTGCAGGGGGTGGAACCAGCTCGTAGTGGTCTCCACCCTTCTTCCGTGCAGGCTTAGCAACCTGCTGCTTCGGCCGCCACTCCTCCTTGATCTTATTGTTCGGAGGCGAGACTAGATGGAGTGGCAGCGCAGGAATGATAGGAGGGTCCTGCAAAATGAGAGGTGCAGAAGGATACACGACAGGCTCGTGTACCTGATCAGAAATGGCATGCACAGGTGTGACAGCAATCATAGCACAGTGATCGAATTCAGTCACAGAAAAAGTAGCCTGTTCATTCTCAGCACGCAGGATCAGTTTACCATCATGCACATCAATTAGTGCCTTGGCGGTGGCAAGAAATGGTCTACCTAGAATCAAAGGCACGTCCACATCCTCATGTATATCAAGAATAACAAAATCAACAGGATATGTGAATGCACCTACGTTAACAAGCAAATCCTCTATGATCCCCCTAGGATGCACAATGGAACGATCAGCTAGCTGAATGCTCATCCTAGTAGGGCTAAATTCACCTAGGTCTAGCTTTTTATACAACTTATATGGCATGACATTTATGCTAGCGCCTAGGTTCGCCAAGGACTTGCCTACATGCATGCTGCCAATAGTAAGAGGGATAGTAAAACACCTTGGGTCCTTGCGCTTTTTTGGGCAGCTTGTTCTGCAGGATAGCAGAACACTCCTCGCTCAGCAACACTGTCGAAAGATCCCCAAGTTTCTTCTTGTTGGTGAGGAGATCTTTCATGAACTTCGCGTACTTGGGCATCTTCGACAGTGCCTCCACAAAAGGTATGCTGATGTTGAGCTGCTTCAACATTGCCATAAACTTGGCAAACTCAGTCTCCAGCTTGTCTTTGTGTAGGCGAGTGGGGAAAGGAAGCTGGGGTACATGCTCCTTGACCACTGGTTGTGGCTTGGGAGCAGGGGCTTCCTTCTCCACCCGCACTTCTGCATCGTTGGCTGGAAGTGCTGAAACAGGTAGTGGTTCCTCCTGCCTGGCCGGGGCAGGATCAGCGGATATGGTCTTACCACTCCTGGTAAAAATGGCATCCAACTGCTGGGGCGGCTCCCGTGGATTGGGGATGGTAGTGGCAGGTAGAGTTCCCGGTGCCCTGGTGTTGTTCTGGCGGGCTATTCCTCCAATATGATGTTGGAGGTCCTGCAGTATAGCACCTTGGTTCCTCTGACCTGCCTCCAGCGAGACGATGCTCTGGTCTATCCTGGCGAAATTCGCCTGGCTGGTAGTCATGTATGCCGCTAAAATGTTTTTCAGCTCCGTCATCTGGTTATCTGGAGCTGGAGCTTTTGCTGGCTAGGCATGCTGACGCTGGGGCTGCTGGAATGGCTGCCCCTGCCTAGGCTGGTAGGGCTGCTGCTGTGGTGGGGGCCCCTGCCTAGCCTGGAAGGGCTGCCTCTGCTGAAAACCACCCACTAGTGCTGGGAAACCACTGTTCAAGCAAAGTTGGGATGTTGGCGCCACCCCTTATTTTATGTATTGCTATATGGGTCAAGGCGCCGAGCATTGGCGATGAAGTCCACCTATTCTTGGGCAGTAGAGAACTCCCGCATAGCCTGACAGTCCTCCACCAGATGATTCGAGTTCTCACACCACTGACATTGAGCTACGGGAGGTCCGCCCAGACCTCTGCCCGGAATAAGACTGTTGGGCTGCTTCAATGTCTGCACTAACTCAGCCACCTGCTGCTAGAGCCCGGATCTGGTCTCCATGGCGTGCACACCACGGTCACGGGAATGTCTGCCTCTGCTACTCTGCCCCCAGGAATGATCTCTGGCAGCCAATGTATTGATCATCTGGTTCAGTTCGGGTGGAGTCTTGGTAAGAATGTCCCCTCCTTGGCATAGAGACTCAATCACCCTCTGACTTTCCAGAGAGAGAGCACTATAGAAGTTCTCCACTGTGAATGCATCACTAAAGCCATGATGGGGACACTGCCAAAAAAATCCCATGTACCGCTCCCATGCATCACGAAGTGACTCATCTGGCTCTTGGCGGAAGTGAGTGATCTCCCGCTGGATCTTTGTAGTCTTCGATGCCGGATAGTACCTGTGCACGAATTTGTCAGCCAGATCGTCCCAAGAGGTGATGGACAATGGGGGCTGGGTCTGCAACCACCTCTTAGCATTCCCCACCAGAGAATGGGGGAAGAGGTGAAGGCGGATTGCATCATCAGGGACACCGTTCAGCTTGAACCCGTTCGTCAGCTTCAGGAAACGGGACAGGTGCACCCTTGCCTCCTCATCCTTCAAGCCATGAAACTGGACAGAGGATGTAATGAGTTGAATCCAGCATGGCTTGATCTCGATAGAGGATGACAGGGCGGATGTCCGCAACCCGGGGAGTGTAGTAGTACTCCAAGGTGGGACCCGGTGGTGGTGGGTGATGATGAACCCCATCTGCCTGGGGTATGGGGTTGTTCCCCAAGATCTGATTCACTGGGGGAGCCTGGTGAGGATTCCCTTGGTGTGGATTGTGAGCTCCTTCCATCTCGTACTCGTCCTCGGCGTATGGATTGTGAGCTCACTTGATGTTGAACCTATCATAAAATGTAAAATAACTAGGTAGTCTATGTCGTTGCTGCTACTGAAAATCTCAACTAGGCATCCTCCGTGATGCTTCAACTGCCCTCCTCTAGCTGGCTGCCCTCGAAATTTTCCTCCCAAACTCGCTGCTCTTTAACTGCTCCTCTAGCTCGCTGCTACTGAACTGGTTCTCGCTCATTCCCTTACTAAGGCCTGGTGAGTGAGTTGGGGTCACTCTACACCCTTACGTTTTAAACTTTCTAATAATTTTGCACTTCTTCTCAAACACTTAAACTCAAACAGAGGGAAGTTGTTTGTACTTCCATTCTTAAAAATCTTACTCTTAAAACTGTATGGGAGTAACTGTTACTCTCCATTCTTAAAGCTTAAATCTCAACTTAAATACTTGACTGACACTGGGATCCCCTACTAGCTAGTCCGGTTGCCAACTCATACGTATGAGAAGCCATCAAGGCTTTCCTTAAACTTAAACTTAGTTAGGGAAGTCGTAACGATTCATCCCCCTAGCATCTTAAACTTATCGTGGTGGCTCTTCACCACGATTCTCAAGAGCATAACTGCTGCTCATCTTAAAAGTCTCAAGAGCATAAATGCTGCTCTGTCTCAAAGATCTCAAGAGCATAACTGCTGCTCTATCTGAGAATCTCAAATGGCAACAGACTGGCGCTAGTGACTAAAAATACTTAAAACGACTTCACCTTCTTGAAGGTGAGTTACTTCTTAAAAAAGAACTTGTTTCTTAAACTTTGACAATAACTCAAACATAACGCTTTAAGGTAAATAGCACAAAATCACCTCAAATAGCACAAAATCACCTCAATCATAGCTCAAACAAAGCACACATAATCAATCATAAACATAACCAAGCAACGGTAACCAATTCGCTAAAATACTTAAAAACATAGTACTTAAAAGAATACGTAAGACGTAGAATTTACCCCCTTTACACTCACCTTATTGATCAGGTCGACTTGGCTTGAGCTAACCACGACGATCGCTTTACCATAGTCACGCGGGCTCTAATCTTTATCCCTCCTACTTGCTTAACCGCTGACGGGCTTGCTTGAGCAGGTAGGTGACGTAGTGGAGAGGCATCCGATAATGGCCACACAATCACGTCCCAAATGCCCTCGTCCACATATGCTTCACTTAATGGTCCTGCTTGCTTCACTTAATGGTCCTGCTTGCTTAAGCAGGTAGCTGACGCCCGGAACGCACCGATGAGCTTGTTTCACTTAAGCAGGTAGCTGCCGTAGCTGGCCCTCGACCGCAATGCACCGATGAGCTTGCTTCACTTAATGGTCATGCTTGCTTAAGCAGGTAGCTGCCGTAGTAGAGAGGCACCATCCCCTTGATTCATGATCCTTGCAGCTGAATTAACCCCCACGCAATTACGTCCGCCCCGGTCCGGTCCTGCTTAAGCAGGTAGCTGACATAGTAGAGAGGCCCAGCACTCATCCTGCCATCATCAGCTTGCATAGCACCGGTTCGGAGATTTGATTCTTCCCGCGAGCAAGTCTTCCACCGCCACATAGCAACGATGAGACGAGCTCGGATAAGCAAGCACCTCTCATTATAGAGGGGAAGATACTGCTCTCTATCCCTGGGCGCCGCTTTGGCTGCCATTTCCCGAGAGCCTTTCGGTGGAGAAAAGGGTTGCGAGGTTTTGTTTGGGAGTTGCCGAGTAGGGTAAGGCTATAGGGTTTTAATTAGTCCAAGGATACATGTGGAAATTCATACTTGCAAGTGAGTTTAATCCGAAACTCAATTAATGTCGGTAACTTTCTCAATTTATGTCGAAATTCGACACTGCTTGAACCGATAGTTCACATTTTTAGTCCTCATCGGTGATATGGAGGAACTTGAACCAGGGGTATAATAGTCATTTTGACTTTTGGGAAGTGTGGGGTGTGACATTTCCTCCCCCCTTATAAAAATTTCGTCCCCGAAATTTGTTCGAGCTCATCCTTCCATACTCCTCATTCTCGTGCTTCTTTGGGTCAAGATTCCCTTGGCGGTCTATGCGCTCTTCCGTAGCCAGTCTAGCTCGTTGTTGTCTCCTGAGTTGGCGACAAAATCTCTGGATTCAACGGCAGTAAACCTCCCGACTGGCTACGGGTCATGCACTACCTGCACACACTCAAGCAAGCAAACCCGTGAAGGCACAAGTGGGAAAGAACAAACAATCAATGCGAAAAAGAAAATGTTAAAGTAACGGAAATCACTTTTCTTCAACAACCTAGCCGTCCCCGGCAACGGCGCCAAAAACTTGACTCACTCCTACTGTCACTCTAGAAAATGGCAAAGTGAAACCACTTCCCAAAGCGTAGTATAGCGGGTTTTGGTTTTAATGTCAACCCGGGTCCTAGATTTGATGACTACTCGGTGAATTCTTGTTATCTAGCAATGAAACTTTAGTGAACCAAACCTCCACTACCGAATTGAATTCGGTACAGAATAGTGAATTGGCTCCTAGACTTAAGTCACCAATTCGCCACCTTCAATTAAGGGTGCTCTATCAACCTAGGCAGATATTCTCATTCATTGTTAAAGCAGAAACAACAGGAATTTGGTCAGGATTCAAGTCATTCAATCATTCAAGCCTCAATCGAATATAATCAACTCATGAAATCTGTACTTGGGTTCATACAATCAGACCTAACCTACAAATCTAGGGTTCTCCATACCCAGATGAATGGGAAAACTACTTCATGGAGAAAGAAGCAAAAGCAGATTCAGACGCGGAAATCATACTGTGAAGGATGAGTTTCAGCTCCTGGTTGTGAATCGGCACTTCTCCAAGCTCAAGCCGGGCTCCAATGGTGATGAAGATCAAGCTATGGCACTTGGGAACTCTTGTTCGTCGCTTTCTCTCTCTAGGAATCGCTCTGTCTCTCTAAAACTCGGAACCCTTGATTTCTTGCCTTCTTTTCCTTTAAAACTGATGCCTGTCGCGATACTCGGTCGGCTATTTTGGCTCTCGACCGGGTATAATTGAAACATGCATTTTGCCTAGGGGAAAAATCCCCGGTCTAGGCCAATAATCCCCAGTCGGGGGTTTTTGCCTCCAGCCCGGGCCCCCTTCTGTTTCTCACGGACGCCCAAAGCTGAAAATCCCCGGTCATGGCCAGATAATACCCGGTCGGGTATGTCTGATCATGGCTGGGTATTTTTGCTCTCCAGCAAACTTCCACCCAACTTCGCTCCTTTCGACCCGAAACTCGTTTCTCCGCCTCGATTCCAACGCCGGGCCCTGAAATATGACATAAACGCACAACCTCGCGTGAAATCAGCTTAAAACACGAGAGTCAACCTCTCAAACGACTCAAGAGTAGGGGTAAAAATAGGTGTAATTATTGGTCTATCAGGTGGTTAATAATGTTTTTTCTTGTAGTGCATACGTTTTCATTCTTTCTCTGCTCTAAATCTCTCTTTCATTTTTTTTCTTCCTTCTCTCTGAAAATAGAAGACCACACTCTTCTTTGTTCTTTCCTCTAGGAAATAACTATCAGGAAACTGGTAGGAAAGAATTGGATTGAAGGCGTGATCAGATCACTCTCCTCAGAGTGTTATTTGCCCCCACTACAAATTGCTGGTAGGCTCGAGCAAACCACCCCCAGGAGTCCCTTCAATTTTAAGTCTGGAAGCAACAATCTTGCAGACTTCTGTGTTTATGAAATAGAGAAGGAAAGTGGAAAACGGGAAGAAGAAGTTACCTTCCAAAGAGACATATCATTTTATAGAAAAAAGTAGTTACCTTTCCCGAAAGGACACATCCTTTCACAGAAAAAAGGAAGTTACCATTCTGGAAGGACACTTGATAGACCGTTAATTACACATGTTTTCACCCCTGTTCTTACACCGTCTAAGATGTGGTTTCTCGTGTTTTAGACCGATTTCACGCTAGGTTGTGATTGTTTGTGATATTTCAGGTCCTGGCAAGTGAATGAAGGTTTAGGAGCGAGTTCGGGATCGATTGGGCGAAGATCGGGCGCGAGCCAAGTCACAAAGGAAGCTGCACGGGCGCACCCACAACCCGCACGGCCGTGCAATTGACCAGTTTGGCCGTGTGGGATTGTGCGAGAGCAAACATGGGCAGAGCAAAAAATCCACACGGCCGTGCAAGTAACCAGTTTGGCCGTGTGGAATTCTGCGAGGCTTCACACGGCCAGGCTGGGCGAGCTGCACGGCCGTGCGACCCTGGCCGTGTAAGAAGCCTGGAATTAAACTAAGTGATATGCTGCGTTTTGACTCACATGGGCAACTGGGTGAGCCACACGGCCGTGTGGCCTGCCCGTGTGAGTCGGGAATTGCTGGTTAAAACCCGATTTTCAGGAAAAGGAGAGGGGAGAGCTGGGTTTTGGATCCCAAACACCCAAGGGACGAACCAAAGAGAGAGAGGGCGATTTGAGGGCATGCTAAGAGTGGAATTGGAGGATTTCTTCGCCTTGGAAGCTCGAGGAACAAGCCCGGACTTGAAGACTGATCATCTGAAGATTCTTACTGCAGTCTCTCTCTTCTCTATGGAGTAACTTCCCTTCACTTAGGTTTTGAGGAACCCTAGCTATGTTTGTTTGATTGGATGATTGTATGAGTACTCTGACTTGATAATCTTGAGTTCATATTCAATCTATGCATGTTTTCATGATTCAATTCTGCTTTAGTCGAGATTATTGATTCTGCTTTGATCCTATGAGAGGGAATACCTGATTAGGTCAATAGAGCACCATAGATTGATAGTATTGGATCGATTGCTTTAGTCGAGGGTTGATTCGCTGCTTTGTATCGATTGAGAACCTCTTTCGATAGAGGGAGTTTAGTTCAGAACGCCTTGATCGGTTGTTCTAGAGAAGGATACGTCCCTCTAGGCAATTGACTCAAGAGGGCCTTGTTCCTTTAGTCGAGACTCAAGGTCTAGTCAAGGATTCTCCGCATTGTGAATGAAAGTGAAACAAGTTGGAAATCATCAATCGTTAGTCTGGCTAGTGGCTAGGGGGAATCATACCTAAGTGAGTTCCCAACCTGTAATTAGATTAACTTTAACTGTAGTTTGCTAGAGTAGTTTTAGTTCTTTCATCTTAATCTGGTTTGCTAAATAATAAACTGAAGCTGAGTAATAGTAACTTTAGAGACCCGTGGATTCGATATTTATCACTTGAGCCACTATACTGCAGTCCCTTCCATTGGTTACACTTGGCCATTGTTAGGTGTTGTGTCATAACGAGTCAAGTTTTTGGCGCCGTTGCCGGGGACTTTCTAGAGTATTAGGAAAGGCAGAAGTTTGTTACTTTAGCGTTTTTCTTTTCTTTTCTTTTCCACCCTTGCTTTTCACTTGGGTGTTTTTATTTTTGTTGGTGCAGATCTGAATCATGGATCCTCATGGATTCTCCAACAATTGGGGGTATCCACCACCACCCGAGTGGTATTACCCCGAGACTCCGTGGAGCAATCAAGGAGGAGAAGACTATGGATTCGGGTTCTAGTACCAACCCCCTTACTACGGAGAACAATCGGACCCCTGGGCATATCAAGAACAACCTCATTGCCAAGAAGAATTTCTCCCACAACAAGAGGGGCCATTGGAGTTGGAGTTACCCATGGCAGCCTTCACGGGCCATTCTGCAGAGCCATGCTACACTCCACAGCCAGATCGACACTGCGAATTGAGGCTTCTCATGGAGAGATCATGCTCCAGGATGGATCATTGTGTCCAGGCCTTTCGTGAAACAGAGGAGATCCTCCTGAGCCTTAAGAAGAGCGTCGATGATCTTGAGCGATCTTGGGCACAACCTGCTCCAGATCACCTTTCTGCTACCATACAAGAAGAGGAGGAGGAAGAAGAAGGCTACAAGGACATTGTGGAGCACACTGAAGTTGTCACGGAGAGCTCCCGTGATGATCATGATCAGGAGTGTCATGTCGTAGGCGACCACACCTTCCCACACCCCAAACTGAGCTTTGAAGAGGCGGGCATGAGTGAGGAGATGCAAGAAGATCTCATGAAAGAAATTGCTTGGCAACTTGCTCTCCAATCCGTGCTAGAAGAAGAAGAGCAAGAAAGGGTGCAGAAAGAAGTTGTGGAGGATGACGAAAGTGAAGCTGGAGGAGTTCTTGATCATTTCCCAGGGGTTGATACCACATGAAGAAGGAAGGGAGGTTGAAGAAGAAATTGGCATCCAGGCTGAGGACGGAGTTAAGGTGGAAGAGGCCTGCACCGGCCATGAGTTACATGTGATATCTCCACCAAACTTTGAGGAACTGCTTAGCAAGGACCCATTTGCAGTGTCTCTTTGCCAGACCAAGGCCACATCGACATCGGTCCCTCTTGGTAGACACGATGGTGGTCAATCGATGCTGTCATATCTGGTTTGGGGCAATGAGACGAGAAAAAAAAAGAAGAGGTCTCGAGGGTGGAGACGTTATCTGCATCAAGTGCACGAGCTTCCATCACCTGTCATACCACATGCTCGTGACTTGAGACTCCACGTCATCGATGAGAACCTCAACTTCAAGGTGGTTTTGGGGTGGATCGAAACTTAGGAGCCATCGTCCGGCTCACGACGTGATACAAGCGCTTTTGGGAGGCAACCCAACCAGTCGGTTTGCATTTCTTTCTCTATTTCTCC